AAAACTATGCAGTCAGTATGGTTTGAAACTATACTTTGTGATGCTTTGTAACTATAAGGCACACTTTTGTTTATAGGTTTTAAAACATGCCTGCTTTATACTACATCTAGTCATATCAGAGGTCTTGTTACTTATTTCATTTCACATAAATTGCACAGCGCTATTTGTATATATTGTAGTGTTTGCATCTCAATTTTTCTGGCTTTAAGATTGATACTGAATTAAATGTTTTCAGCAGATGTATTTTTCTCTCTTTTATGATACCATGATCAGGATATGCAAAAACGTTTTTCGACCCTGATTTTGTCAGTGTCGTGTTCAGCTGGATTATACCCTGGATGCCTTTGGGAGTTTTAGCACTTTGCACAAAATTCATGAGTCTCTGATAAATGAAAGAACCAGGTAGGTTGGAAGTCTGTCAGAAAATACATTCAAAGGGATCCAAACTGTACTCCAACAGGTTGTCAGTTATATTTGTATAACTTTTTCCAGTTCTTTTAAGGTCAAGTGCTTCATATACTCCTAGTCTGAGCATTACTTTCCTTACTCTGTAAATTTATTAGTCAAAAAGCATACTAGTAAATCAGAAGAAGAATATTGCAGTATGCTTCAACAAAAGATGATGAGTGTGGCTGTCTTAACACTTCAGAATGAGTGACAGGAACAGAATGGCATTATTGTCAAAGAAAAATGCTCCACATAACCTTTATCATTTTGCCAAAGCCAGCCCACCAGAAGAAACCAAAGAGAAATTTCAAGTTCGGACTTGCCAAATGAATCTTTCATTTAAAATGTGAAACAAAGGCATTGCTTTTGCCAAACATTACTAAGCTTCGCTGAGGCCTTGCATGAAAACCCAAGACCTCTGACTATTCGGATTTCGTATTTGATGTAAAACTTGGGCTTATTCCCACTTAATGCAAATAAGAGACTGCACGTTACCTTGAAACTCTTTAAATTAAAAATGATACTGACACAGAACTGTGCCAAATTAACTCAGCTATGATGAAATGATTATAAAAACATGGTGTTATGAACTGTCTTGGCACTTAAAAGACATTATGGAGTCTCCATAGCACTCTGAAAATTTGTTAAAATGAAAATAAAGACTGGTTTTGAAGCAAACGTTTTATTTCTGAAATATTATACTCTTAAGGAATTTAAAATACTAAATATAATGAGATATAAAATCAAGCAGATATTTATGTTGAAAGATATACTTTTAAAAAAACTTTTAGCATGATAGATTTCTAATGCTGACATACTTTAATGTAATAGACTAAAAAATAAATTAGGTATGACCTTTTTCACAATAGTGTTTGGTCTATAACATAAGATAATAATATTAACTTGTATTTTTCTTCACTGAAAAATTGAAATAGCTTTTCTTTCTAAAGCAGGTAAAAAAATCTTCTAACATTTTTTGTCATTGTTCTTTATGAGATACTCAAAAGATGCCCTTAGAAATGCTGGTAACTGTTAAGGACAGCTAAGTTAACAGGTAAACAGGAGTTGACATCATACAGGGTCTCACTGTCCATTTTGAATTATACTACTACAATTCTTGATCATATGATATGAATACTCTGCAGCTTGAAGAAGACTTTCTCCTCAATTATCCACTAATGAGAATCTGTAAATCTGCATTTTGAGAGTATATGAAGATTTTCTGAAGGGTGTTTGTTTGACAAACAGCCACATTTCTACCAGAAGTAGCTACTTAAAGTGCTTATAGACAATTCCCAAATTCCTTTCTATCACATACATTAGGAAGCAGACAAGTCTAATTCTTCAAGGAAAATTATGTTCTGAAACTGTCAGACAGGCTTCACTTAAAAACTAAATTCATACACAGATATGGGTTTGTGTGCATCACTTTTCCCTTCCCTCTCATTACTCTCAAACTCAGTCAACTCCAATTAAATTTATTAGGATAAATACTTAAACAACATGAAACCAGCTGATCAGCTGGAAGACAGAGATCTTACTGATGTGTTCACTGAAACCACTGAGCCCTGTGTGCTCAGAAATACCTACTAGACTTCAAACAACCTACATGGAAGAGAACATTTCTGAACAGCCAAGCTGGGAAAAGTGGGAGGTATGGGAGGTGCGGGATGGGTGGGAAGAGAGGCTTAGCACTCACTGCTAAATACGCATGAGTGCCCAGGAAATTCAGCGAAATACAAATACTTCCCAGCAACAGCTGAGGTGAACAAAAGAGACAAAACCAGAGAAGACTCTTGGAAACCTGCCTAATTTCCTCTGAGCACACAGTCCATCCAATTGGCAAGCTCACAGGAAAACCCAACTTGCATCATTGCGACTCTCAACCAGACTTTCCCTGGGAACGCCTTGAAGATACAACAGTTTTCCCCATCTGTGGCCATGAGATGACCAGACTGCTTTGGAGCTGGAACTCCTTTGTCCAAAAATTTTGAAACTCAAGGACTTTTTTCTGACCCAGAAGACATCTTCAGCTACCAAAGTTTTCCATGAAATGGACCACCCTTCACCATCTACTCATACTGTTCAGAAAGTCTTCATTGTGGCATTTTCTAAATTCTGAATGCTTGAGTTTGAAACCTGCAAAAAGCCTTGTGTGTTTTGGAAATCTGCAATTCTGCAGTCTCTCAGAATTGCTAAATGTCGGTATTCTTCTGAGAATAAACGTCTATTTAAAACAAGGCAAAAAATGCTGAATTAACAGCTTGAAATCCTTGCACCTACCTATTGTAGCTGAAAAACATTATAGGTTGCCATCCTCCATTTGGATCCATGAATAGAGAAGGAGAGGTGCTTTTCTCATTGATTTCATTTATATTTACTGACAGAAATGAAATGTGTTATACTGAACTCCATTTTAGGATCACATTGGCAGTATTCTTTAGTTGTCAGCAACGTCTTCTTTTCACTTTTTCTGACCTGTTTTCTCCAATAAGTTTCCTTCCAGTCCTGCAGCTTTCCCGAGTCCTTCTCCTCACCCAGTAAAAACAACCCAAAATCCAAGCTTTTAATCACTTTGTCATCATCAACACCACTTGTCTATCACAGTAGTTACTTCCCCACAACACCCAAAGTCCTGCCAATTTCAGGCCTCCTCCATAACGAACACTCACATTCAAATCCATGCCTATCACAGAATCACAGAATAGTAGGGGTTGGAAGGGACCTCTGTGGGTCATCTAGTCCAACCCCCCTGCAGTTCCTCCTCATGTTCAGACGGAACTTCCTGTGCCTCAGTTTGTGCCCATTGCCCCTTGTCCTGTCGCTGGGCACCACTGAAAAGAGCTTGGCCCCATCCTCCTGACACCCACCCTTCAGATATTTGTAGGCATTTATAAGGTCCCCTCGCAGCCTTCTCTTCTTCAGGCTGAACAAGCCCAGTTCCCTCAACCTCTCCTCGTAGTGGAGATGCTCCAGTCCCCTCACCATCCTTGTAGCCCTCCGCTGGACTCTCTCCAGTAGCTCTTCATCTTTCTTGAACTGGGGAGCCCAGAACTGGACACAGTACTCCAGATGAGGCCTCACCAGGGTAGTGTAGAGGGGAAGGAGAACCTCCCTCGTCCTGCTGGCCACACTCTTCTTGATGCATCCCAGGATCCCATTGGCTTTCTTGGCAGCCAGGGCACACTGCTGGCTCATAGTTAACCTGTCGTCCACCAGGACACCCAGGTCCCTCTCTGCTCTCCAGCAGGTCCACCCCAAGCCTGTACTGGTGCATGAGGTTGTTCCTCCCCAGGTGCAGGACCCTGCACTTGCCCTTGTTGAACCTCATCAGGTTCCTCTCTGCCCAGCTTTCCAGCCTATCCAGGTCACGCTGAATGGCAGCACAGCCTTCTGGTGTATCTACCACACCTCCCAGTTTGGTGTCGTCAGCAAACTTGCTGAGGGTACATTCTAACTCTTCATCCAGGTCGTTGATGAAGAAGTTAAACAAGACTGGGCCCAGTACTGACCCCTGGGGGACACCACTAGTTACCAGCCTCCAACTAGACTCAGCGCCGCTGATGACAACCCTCTGAGTTCTGCCATTCAGCCAGTTCTCTATCCACTTCACCGACCACTCATCCAGCCCACACTTCCTCAGCTTCCCCAGGAGGATATCATGGGAGACTGTGTCGAAAGCCTTGCTGACGTCAAGGTAGACAACATCCACGGCTCTCCCTTCGTCTACCCAGCCAGTCATGTCATCGTAGAAAGCTATCAGATTGGTCAGGCATGATTTCCCTTTGGTGAATCCATGCTGACTACTCCTGATAACCTTCTTTTCTTCCACTTGCTTCATGATGGCCTCCAGGATAAGCTGCTCCATCACCTTTCCCGGGATGGAGGTGAGGCTGACCGGCCTGTAGTTCCCTGGGTCCTCCTTCTTGCCCTTTTTGAAGATTGGAGTGACATGAGTCACTACCATATCCTTCTCAGCTCTCTGAAGTATCTTTTCAGCTAATCAGTAAATCACTTCCTCTTATCTCAATCTAAATTCTAATAACTTCACAGCTCTCCCAGGAGATCTTGGTTCCTCATCAGATCAGGTGCCATGTCTCTCACATCCTTTTTCAGGTTTTCATGTGGCTTAAACCTAGTCTATCTGTCAATTATCAGGCCAATGCTGGGCCATCACCTCAAGCCATGTTTTCCTAGCTCCTCTTTCCACATCCGCTTCCCAAGCTTTCTCAATACAGAACTATACCACTGTCTAATGAGCAGCCTAAATTTTCATCTAAGAGTCCCAATCTTCTTCTCTCCTTTCTTGGCAGGTTCCAACCACTAACTCTGCCATTACTGCACATCTGACCCTGCCTTCTGACAGACTGAAGGAACAGGGGAAGGCTTGCAGACCATAAAGAGAAAAGACTCTATAAAGAAATTTGCTAATTGTACATTACAAATGAGTCTTAAAAGTCTCTTTTGCCAGAAACTATAAGTTATTCCCTACATTAAAAAAAGACATTTAATTCATGTTCAAATCACAGAATGGACAGCCATTATTTGCTCACCTGAAATATTTGTTTCAAGGAGAAAAGTGCCCGTCTCAGCTCCCGTCCATTGGAATTGTAAAGTTTTTCTGGGAATAAAAAAGACAACAGGAGGAACTTCAGCATAAACAAAACTGACAACATGGCAAAAAAATAGTACAGATTTCAGAAGAGTTGGAGTGAAAGAGTCATAGCACCCACTTCCCATTATGTTGACTGCTGTTAGAGAAAGCAATTTTGTTTTTTATATATACAAGACTCATTCAATAAAAAGTACAAGTAAAACTCGGGTTTAGTTGTCCGTAACTTCAGATGGCATCTTCCAGGTACATTCACAATAGCTTCAACAAGATCAGTGAGAAACAATGCTTTCGAAAATATGTAGAAATACTGCTCTTTCTGCATTAAGGTAAATTTAGGGTTTATTGAAAGTATCAGATTAGTCTCAAAAGACTCAACCGAGAGCGCTCTTTGCTTTTGTTATCAAAGTTAGAGCCACTGAATCCCATCCTTGACTGCCTTCCTTGTAGACATTCTTTTCTCATGTTCTCATCTTTCTATTGTTAAATCCTTTCTGCAATGGCAATGAATGTTAATACCAGAAATAGTCGGACAGTCTGTTCTAAGCATAATTCAAAACAGTGTTTTATTCTCATGAAAACTGATCTTGATCTTTTTCTAAATCAGGCAGAAGCCTTCTTTTCATCGTCCAATACTGAAATACATTATTTCATTTATTCCCCTACTAATGCATACTCATAGAAATAATTTAAAGAAGACAAAAGCAACTCCTCTGCTATCTTTCTGAACCCTGCCACAACGGTTGTGGCTTTGGAAGAAGCCTTGGACTACTCATCTCAGGTTTACTATTGTGTATTTGGAAGCGATTTGTGACTCCGCGTGGATGGAGCAGAAGGTACGCTCTTCAAGTCTTCCTGGCCGACTATGTTTGGCATGTCCGACAGAGATGGACTATATTCAACACGTCTACAGTCCTAAACTGAATTTTATTACACTAATACAATCTGAGGACAAACTACAAAGCAAAATCAAATCTTCAGTCACCTGTCACGATACACATTGCCTCACCCATAGATCATCGTGAAAGGATCTCCTCTGCAATGGACAGCGGTCAGCAGGTCATTAGATCAAAGTTGGAATGCCCATGGAGTGGGCATATTCTTATGTGAAAATGAAATACCAAACCTCAAAGTTTTATTTCTTACTTTTCCTCGTCTATTTCTCTTTTAATTACTACTTTACACTACAAAATTGAATTAGATTTTATTTCCATCTCTCACGAAGCGACAAAAAAGGCCTACCATTTGAGGATTCAATGTGTTTATAACTCAGCAATCATTTTTTACTTCAATCACAGAAGGCAGGTTTTAATGTTTGAAAAACATTTCTTATTCCCAACAGTCATCTTCAACCAAAGGAAAAAAGTGAAGTAAAATTTCAGCAAAACTTACACTTTTTTTTTTTGTAAACTTTGAAAGTAGTTTTGTTCATCCCTAATTGCCTCTGATTTCAAAGGCAGAACGTGCAGAACTGGCAAAACTATTGATGTTATAAGTTGTGTCCTTCCTTGCACTGTTTATAGATTCCTGACAAAACACTGGAGGAACAGATCTCACGTCAAGCCATAAACTTAGAGGTATACTTTAATTAGTCTCACTTCAAAACGCGTCGGCATGTGAAACTACATTTCTTGGCAGGATAAAGGGTAATTTTGTCAGGAAAGCTTAAAGAATAATAACGGTCTTTTAAGACCCGGTCTGTCAGCTTTACATGCCATATTACACAAAATATTCCTCTTTGAAAGATACCTCCATCTGGCATTTGTTATTACTAATTTCCCTCTATTCATAATTCACCAGCATCATTATGAGCAGAATCCCTCCAAACAAGGCAGTATATTATCATCTTAATTGAGAGAGGCACCACTTCTTAAAGTGTTGGCAACTTTGTACATAAATATCAATGCACTAACAAATGCCATCTGTCGGTCTTGGTCTAAAACAGGAACAATCATCATCCCGGCCCCGGGTAAAGTCCTAACGAACCATTGTTATGATACCATAACGCTGGTTGCTTTCATTGGTGCATGCAGATTTTTGGTATGTCTCAGAGGAACAATGTCAAACTTTTTTCTTCTTGGTCTTTTCACTGAGCGTATCATCATCCTTGGCAATCAGCACAAACAATGGTCTCCCTGCTCGCATCTAGCAAAAGAGGACAGAAGTTATTCACTGCAGTTCCAAAATGGGTCTATCGTTAGAGCTGAAGAATCAGTAACTACTGGAAGTATCAAGTTTGGCAACAGCAGTGGCAACAGGACAGCAGCATGTATCGCAAACACTTGAACTGGTCTGACACCCCTTCTGAGAAGCGACAGCCCAGGTTAAGTCATCTCCTTTCTGACAGCTACTACCAGAGCGCAGCAGTCTACACAGAGACAATGTAGATGGGCAGATCTCTCCTCATGTGGAGCTAATCTTGTTGAATCTGCTCAGAAATGCAAGTTCCTAACCTCTTCACCTGATTCTCTTACGCATGGGCAGTACACTGTCTGTCTACGTGAGTCTTGGCTTCCAGTTCTCACAGTGCTGGCAGCCATCAGAAACATTCATGGAGCACAACCCAAGGAGGAAAGCGAGGCGGTCACTCCTCAGAGTCCTGTCACAACAGAAGATGTTTTGGTTTAGAAAATCACAGTCCAGGGCAAACCTCATCCAAGGTAAGAAAGCCTGCGTAAGCCAAGGTACAGCAGAGGCCACCATATAAAAGCTTGTACTTTTATTGTATTTCTGTATGCTGTTCTTCAGAAAACGATAAATGCATACACTAGATTACAGCGCAAGGATGCTCTGTAAGATGCTCTCAAGGCCCTACAGGATCCCCATTTGTCAACAGTAATGTTAACACCACAAGGACCTCGGGGCTTGTCCCACAAGCCCCAGACTGCAACCAAGGCTATGAAAATGCATCAGCAGAAACTGAAAGGCAATAATCACCTGTAAGCTCTTTTTCTATGGTAGAAAAATCCAACTAAAAAAAACAGAGAGGGAAAGACACTTTGCTTATGATGTTTTCACACTGAAGATGATTCAGCAACCAGATAGCAAGTGCTTTTTGATGCCTGCTGGTTTACAATATCAGTTTAAAGAGTTGCCCTCTTTTAAACCGACTGAGAAATACCCTCCCACGTTAAAGCACAGAGGTGACTATAATTCCCATGGTGCATCCCTGACAGAGTTGTCTTTAACTGAAACAAATGATGCCTACGTCTTTCAAACAGCATAAAAAAAAAAACAGATAAACAACCTGCTGCTATCACCAGAACCAAAAAATTCTGAGGTGCTCCAAGGACAGCCCAAAAAACCTACCTGCTCACCACCTTGTTATAATGTGTTGTAGATAAGCTTGAATACGTACACCAGGGCTGCTTTCTGCCAGAAACAGAACCTCCGAACTTCAAGCAGGAACACTCACTGCTATACCTCTCCCTGAAGCTTCATGAGTCACTGGCCCTTAGGTAAAACACATTTCCCATCCTTCCCCAGGTCAGACACAGGTTGGAGACATGCAACGCTCATACACTTCAAGATGAGAGAAGATAAAACAGGGCAGAGAGTTTGAGACATCTGACTATATCTAGCTATTAACACTTGAATTTCTGAGTTATGTCGTGATCAGTCATCCTATTGCAGTTCTTTTTTACTACTTTTCTTCAAGAAATAAAGAGCTGCATCTGCGGCTGTGAAAGAGATTTAATTGCAGATGATAGAAAATTCTCACGGTGGATCCCTCTGATGTTAACTAACGCTAGAGGGCACTGCTTATTTCTTTATTTTATGAAAGCAAAGGCACTCTGTCCTTCCATGGGCTTCCCACTGATTGAGCAATACTGTTTGGGATGCTGAGTCAGTGCTTCATTAACCTTGAAACCCTGCTTTTTATCTGTAGACGGTAGAATATCCTGAAACATTAAAAAGCATTACCACTGCTGACCTCAAACATCCCAAATCAGAGTCAACTCTTGAAACCATCTGATAGCCCTGGTGTGGGCTTCAGTTTTATCTACCTTTCTGTAACAAGCAAGGGTCACGTTTGTCAAATCATCCTTCACATCATAACGAGTAGGTGTCTATTGTTCAAAGACAAAGAGATCCCCTTAGCTCACCACTTCTTTCTACAGGCAGAGCGCCACAGATAACCGGGCTCCTGATACTGGTGGACCAGAGGCAGAAACTTACAAGCGCCTATTTCCTTGCAATGGCAGCACTTTCATACTCTAAAAGAAAACCATTATATGTCACTCCGGGTTTTTGTTTGCTTTTACTTTTGTAAAAATAACCCTCCTACAGAGGAAAACAAGAGAACTGATGCTAGGTGAAAAGGGATTTCTCTAGGTGAATTTGGTACAAACGTGGCAGTGGAGGAGAGGCAGTTTGGTTTGCAATCAGCATATTTTCAGAAAGGAAGAGAAGCCTTTAAAGACCTTTATTTTATTGGACCACTGGTAGCTTTCAAAGGGGATTCTATATTTTCAAAGACGACCATCAGAGGCTCAAATTTCATGGGGTATTCAACTCTTTCAACTACATGGGAAAAGGGACTTTTGAAAGAAAATAATAATTGGTCTTTATATTTTTAATGAAAGTACTGACTTTTCTTCTGCTTTCTATGGGAAAATGAATGTTTTCAATCCACAATAATAAAAGAAAAATCAGAACTCACTGAATATTGCTTGGTTCAGTCCCATGTGTTACACCTGACCTCTGACTGACACGGTACCATCCTCCTCCCTTCCTCTTCCATCACACCCATTGAATTAGTCCCTTGGATATAGTAATTTATGTAGCATCAGCCTTTTGAGCTATTGGCAAAGGCTCGTGAACATCTGGCTGAGCACAAATGGGAGTTGCTCTGCTTCACTTGCTGCTGCCTGAATGACCTCCACATCTCCCATACATGCCTCTTTTCTTTAAACTATAATTTCAAGACGAAGCTCCTTTCCTTACAAAAACATAAAAGGGAGATTAACTCCACATTTGATTACATTAGCAGGGTACCTGGAGCACAT